TTGCAGCTAGAGACAACAGAACACGAACAGTGTTGATTTTGGCTACAGGTGCGAATGTCTCTGTGTAGTCAATCCCATAGGTTTGAGTGTATCCCTTCGCTACTAGCCTCGCTTTAAAGCGTTCAATTGTGCCGTCAGCTTTGTACTTCACAGTGTAAATCCACCGACATCCAACTATTTTCTTTCCTAGTGGAGGATCAACAAGCTCCCAAGTTTCATTCTTTTGTAGGGATTTCATCTCTTCATTCATGGCTGCTTTCCACCTGGGGTCGGTTAAAGCTTCCTGCACACTGTTAGGAATAGATACACTAGACAATTGATTAACAAATGACATATTTGATTCTGACAAACGGTGGTTAGATATGTAATGACTCATGGGATATTTGACTTTACTAGATAGGTCAGGTTCATATGTGGGTCTAGGGATACCTCTGGTGTGACACTGTGGTAACTGTCGTTTGTATGGCTCAAGAACACCTTCAGGAAGTGATTGGTATGATACGTCGGACAAAGGCAGCTCCACATCTTCAGTTTGTCGAACGAGAATCTCAGATTCAGGCAAACTTGCTTCTTGTGTTACTGGGTGTTCATCACCACTTTGATCCAACATTATACCACTTAAATCCAATTCACCCATCTCATGGTTCACTGGTCCAGCTTGTGAGTTGTCACCACTATAATCCATTGTTATACCACTTATATCCAAGTTGCTCACATCCTGGTTACCAGACTTTGACGATTCAGCTTTATTAGAAGTGGGATAATCATACTCTATAAAGTCGTAATCTAGAGTATGAATTTCCTTCTGGTACTCCCCCTGAAGTTCAGGCTCGGAAAAATACATTGTGTCTTCATGAAAAACAACATCCATTGTAATAAACATTCGACGTGTGGGAGGATGATAGCATCGATATCCCTTTTGATGAGCAGCATACCCAACAAAAACACATCGCAGCGCTCGAGGAGTTAACTTGTTGCGTTGATGCTTATGGAGGTGTACAAATACTACACAGCCAAAAACATGAGGAGGTAAATTTGATACGGCTGGGGCAACAATTGCTTCTGTGAGAGTTTGGAACGGTGTCCGGAAATCAATAATGCTAGAGGGTACCTGATTGATTAAATAGGCTGCTGAAGTAAGCGCTTCTCCCCAGTAGGATAATGGCATATGGGTGTCTATCAATGAAGCTCGAACAACTTCCAATAAGTGTCGATTTTTCCTCTCAGCAATCCCATTCTGTTGAGGTGTGTTAGAACATATTGTTTGATGGACTGTCCCCTGTGCTTCCAAATATTGTTGAAATTCAGTATTCTCATATTCTCCACCGTTGTCGCTGTGAAGAACTCGAACCTTTGCGTTATACTGAGTTTCAACCATTTTATGAAACTTTTGAAATAATAAGTTCACTTCTCTTGTCGCTGTGAAGAACTCGAACCTTTGCGTTGTACTGAGTTTCAACCATTTTATGAAACTTTTGAAATAATAAGTTCACTTCCCCTTTGGATTTCATCAAGCACAACCATGTCATCCTAGTACAATCATCAATGAACGTTACAAACCAACGTGATCCTCCCAAAGTAGTGACATTAGACGGACCCCAAACATCAGAATGTATAATCATAAAAGGAAGTGGACTTTTATTTAAACGTAAGGGAAATGAAGCACGATGGCTTTTTGCCAGTTCACAAACGTCACACCGAAAACTATAAATATCAAATTTTGCAAATAAACTAGGAAACACCTTTTTTAGATATCTAAAGGAAGCATGTCCCATACACCGATGCCATAACCAAATTTCCTCTTTTTTTTATTTTTTCTCCCCCTCATAGCTATCCACCGTCAGAGCTTATTGTAATTTGTCAGAACTTTTGGACACCAAGTCCAAGTAATAGAGCTTTCCCCGCCTAGTACCATAACCAATCGTCTTCCTGGTTTGAATGTCCTTAAACACAGAAAATTCAGGCCAAAAGATTACAATACAAGATAAGGTTTTTGTTATTTGGGAAACTGACAAAAGGTTATAATTTAAAGATGGAACAACTAAAACTGAATCTAAATTTAAGGTATCGGTGAGAGTTAAAGATCCTTCCCCAGATACTGGGGTCGAGGTTCCATTGGCAGTAGAAACAAACTTTTGTAAGGAGGTTTTAAGAGGTGAGACCTGTCTAGAATCAAATGTCATATGATCTGTTGCACCAGAATCAATTATCCATGCACTATTAAAAATAGGTGTAGAAATATTTAAAACCTTACCACCATTATCTGCAGCTATTACCAACGCCGAAGCTTTTTCAGCAATATCTTCTTTTGTTTCAACAACTGTTGCAGTGGATGTTCTGTTTTGATCTTTCTTGGACCGGCTATGATCCCACCATTCTGGATATCCCACCAGCTCGAAACAACGACTTTTGGTATTACCAGTCCGATTGCATTGGGTGCATTTGTAAGTGGACTTGTCAATACCATTGGTCGTTTTACCATTGTTGGGTCGTACTCGGTCTTGTTGATTCTGGTTAGGCTGGTTACGAGCCACCATGGCAGAAGCTTCAGATGTTCTGGACACGCCTTTCAGGGTGATAAGGCGTACACTCTCTCGTCAAATTAAAGAATAACACTCCTCCATGTTTGGAGCTGGGTCAC